TTTTTTTTTTCTTTTTCTTAATGGCTGGGTGTTTCGTCGAATCTTTCTTTTCCATATTCGTCTTTTATTTGGACTTTGTTTTGTGAAATCTATAGTTCAGACTGCAAGTTTCCTGATTACAGAGATTTGCAATTTGATTTTAATCTATAAAAAATTGAAGATTTTCTAATATGAGTAATAAATATGGAATTTTTATGATTGGTGATTAAATTTAAACAGTATAGTCCAATTTAGAATCTGTGATTATTTTAGTACAAAGAGATCTATCCTCAACTGTGATTTTCGTGCATTTGTCTTCTATTGTCAAATGTTAGTTTGCTTGTGGTATTTTCATTAGTAAATTGTAATTTGCAATTTTGAAAAGAATATGCTAACCATATTAATGTTTTCAGGAGAAGCGCAAAGAGAAAAGAGTCAAAAAGGAAAAGAAGGACAAAGGAAGAAAAGAAGGTAAAGAGAAAAAGGAGAAAGATAGAAGTGATGATAAACAGAGAGTAAAGAAAGATCGAAAAGAAAAACACAAGGACAAGAAGGACAGGGGCAAAGAGAAGGAGAAAGAGAAAAGTAGTATATCGGAGGAGGCAACAGTTGCTGGGAAACTTAGGGTGAACAATGGAGAGAAATTTCCTACAAAAGGAGGACATAACAAAGACACAGACATTTTTGTGAATGAAACAAAACGGGCTATCCTGTTTCAGGGTCAAAATGAGAGGAAATATATTCAGAACAGTTTGCACTCCCAGGGGATTGAGGAATCAAATTTTTTGCAGGAGTTGGACAGGAGAATTAAAAATGATGAGAAAGCTTCAGGGAGCCAGTTGCTTGAGAGAGTTTCAGGTACGGACAAAAGGGATCAAGATACTGCCATCAGTGTTGCTTTCAGAGATTCTTCAGGTGTATTGGCAGAAAACAAGGAAAAGTTCAAAGATAAGAGAGTTGATAATAGACAAATGGATGTACAAGGATTTAGCAAGGAGTTAAGTGGAAATGCAATGGCCCAGAACCTTTCTGGAATTGCCAAGAGAAAAGTTGAAGAGATGCCCAGACCAGCTGAGGAACAAAATAATAAGATATTGCCAAGTAAAGAGAAATCTATGGAAAAAGGTGACAATAATGGGGATGACAAACAAAAGGATAGAGATAGAGATCAAAAAAGTCATAAAATTGACAGAGAGAAGAAAAAGGAGAAAACTAAGGGTAAAAGTGAAACTAAGGAAAGCACACAGGTCAGATCCAAAGATGTTGGCAGGGATGAGGTTGGTGGCGATACCAGTTATAAAAGTACGCATATATTGGAGAGCATCAACAGTTCTGCTGTTAGTGAGGAAAATTCTAGGAAAAGGAAAGACTTGGATTCCAATGGTTTTCTCCATGGTAAGTTCTCTTGTTCAGTCGAATACTAGGATTAAATTCACACTTTCTCCAAAATATTTGTATTCAAGTTATTATGGAATAGAGACTTACAGGAAAACTTTGTTGGGCTGCTGCCTAACATGCCTGCTTCTTAAGAATGCTTTCATCTTGTGGCCTCGGTGTACTAGTACTTTGATGCTGAATAATATTATACAACGTTATTCAACTCCTAATTAACCTTTCTTTAGGCTGATTATTGTTGCGTATTTCACAGATAGTGAAGTCAGGCAAAATAAATTGCAGAGGCTCACTCACCAATTGACAGAAAATGGAAGGAAACTCGAATCAGCCCGAGATCACTGTGTATCTACCTTGGATAAGCAGGGGTTTCCGAACAGATTTCCATTGGATAACAAGGACTCAAAGGCGAATGGTATAATTGAAGCCGTCAAACAGTCAACTAAACCTAAGCCTTCTGCTGTTAGTATGTTTGGTGATCAAATTGTTGAAGCATTAAAGAAATCTCCCCTTCCTGATGCCAAGCATGTTAATGGAGTACCAAACAAATCCATGATGGAGGATCAAATTGTGGAAGCATCAGGTAGACCCCCTCATCCAGATACCAGGTATCTGAGTAAGATACTCTCTGTGCCCAAGATGGAGTGGCCCAATGTTGATGACCAGGAATGGTTGTTTACCC